TTTTGCAGTAAAAATCAACGCAAAATCACTGAATCACTCTAATTAAATAAATGGTACAATAAAATCCATGGTATAATATTTTACGATAAGAATAGATTTTACGAAAAAAATAGATTTTACGGTAAAATTGATTTTAAAGCTGATGCACCCAAAGTGCAGGTGCGACGTACCGGAATTTGATCCGGAATTTTTTATAGCGTAGTTTTCTCAAATTAATGTTGAATCTTGCATTTTATGATCCTAAAATAATTATAAAAAGTAGCACAATCTAATGAAGTGACAAATTCGACATATAATGCATATGCTACGAAAACAATCATGATTGTTCGAATAATATTAAATCTAGTGATTTATATATAATTATTTATTAATTGATGCAAATTAATTTGTGTTATGAAACTTATAAATTACTAAATGCGCAAAGCCATTATTAAGCATGCGAAAAACAGAATTAGATTATATTCGGTTTTCAGTTATGCAAATTTTAGATTTTTGACCTGTTAATTTAAATTCTTTATTTAAATTATTCCTTATAGAGTTTAGCATTTTTCAGTCATTTCAGTCATATTTTTAATAAAAAGCAGTTCAATTTTCCCCGCAACGTATTTTTTAATTCTAGTTATTATTCGACATTTCAGAGTAAACATTTAGACTGATATTTTAATGAAATTATTCATTGTTAAATTAATGTCAAAATTAACTGTATTCAATATAAGTATTTAAAGCACTCACAAAATATCAAGAAAAAAACTTTCTTGATTTTGGCTGATTCCTTAAAATTTAAAAAAATTATTTCCCTCATTTTATTTTTTTTAAAATCCTGATAAGGAATTACGAAATTTTTTTTTTATTTACTTCTATGTAGCTTAACTTATTTTTAAAATAAAAGAAGAGATTTAACAGTCTTTCATCATAGAACAGTAAAATAGCTTTATAAAATTAAAATAAAATAATTTATAACGGTTCTAAAATAAAACTTTGGTATCGAACGCTATACTACGAAAAAAAATCTATCCATTTAGTTTTCATTTGCTCATTCAAAACTAAGTGAAAGAAATATTTATTGAAGAAAGAATTGCTGAGGAGATTTATTTAAGAAACGGAATGTATCAGTAGAAATAAGTTTTCCGTAGTTTTGAAAGAAATTTAAAAAAAAGTTTTCAATGTATTATAGTACAAATTAATATATATCAAATTATATGCTTTACATTAGGAGGTAATTGTTACGTTCAAAGTGAAAATAATTGTGAACAGTTTTATTTTCTCCTGTTTTTTTTTCTCTCTAAAAACCTTTATTCTCAACTAAAATATATCGTTCTTTGCGTTTTGATATATTATATTTTTGCTCACCGATTTCTTTCAATCAAAATACATTAATTTTTAAAATGAGTGTTAGCGAAAATTAATCTAATTGAATTTTAGAATAATTTTCGATTTTTTGATGTTTTCATGTTCTTCAAAATTTTAATGAACGAGTATCATTTAACAGCATTTTAACTTTCTAAAAAAGGATAAAAAATAAAGGCTTCTCATCAAGAGATAAAGTGAAATAGTTTTTGATATCCTCTTAAAACTTCTATGAGTTTTTCATTTAAAAACAATAAAATTAAGTGGTTAGTGATTTTAGCTAAGTGATTTATTACTGTACATTTGTCTGTGACTAAATAATTTATTTTTTATTACTATTCTAATCGAAGATAATCGATCTAGATGATAACGATATCGAAGATAATCGATTCCCTTTACTTAAATTACCAAAAAAATTAAAATATTTATCAAAAGTCTAAAGCAGATAAATACTTAGCTGGAAGATAAAAAAGAATTGAAGTGGTAAATATCAACAAAAAGTACTTCAATTTCTATAACATTTAATACTAAAAAGACGGAATCGTAAAAAAATGCCTGAAATGCTAAAGTGTCCTCTTTAGTCTTTCTTGATATACAGCAATATTCAATGTTTCTAGTGTTAAAATTGAAACAAAATTAGTTTCTAACTTTTATATAATTGTTAAAATTATTTGCATGTAGTGGTAGTAAATAGAATTTGAAATTAAATTTTATTTAACCAAGAATTAAATATCAAAGCATAAAATTTGCTACCACTTTAAATATAAAAAAAAATCTCCTGGTGACAGTTGGGAGAAATTCAAAGGAAGGTTCTGTACTATCTTTCAAAATTGCTGATTGCAGAATTTCCTTAGCTCTGAATACATAACTTTCGTAAATTCTGATTAAGTAATAGTCTTGCATTTTATATGTTTCATAGAATACTACCGAGATGATTAAATATTCACTATCAGTTTTGTTCTGTAAACTAAATAAAGATGATTAAAATCATGTTTGAAGTTTCTCCCCTTCGTCCCCAAACCTCTTGGAATTTGGTAAGGTTAGAAAGAAAGAATCATCTTAATAAATTGTTACTTTATTAAAACAGTATCAAATTATATTTCAAACAAATTAGTGTGATATGTTTTATAGTGTATGTAGCGGAAAATCTTGAAAATTGGCCGCTTAAGTTTCCTCTTTCGCTTATTTTTTTGTGATACCACTACGCTGCAAAAGCTCTGTATTTCTAGAATATCTCTTAGGAATTGGAATTCCATAAACTTTTCTATTGAAGTTTCTGCAATTGATCTTAGTAAACATAGTATGTTTACTAAATTTAGTGCAGTAACAATACAATCAAATTTAATGCAGCAAAGTAGTAGAATTAGATACAGATTTTTTCTACAATACATGCAGTAACCGAGAAAGGATGCTGTGAGTGTAAATTTTTGTGGCCAAACATTTGTATTTTTAAAACTACATTTAGTTTTATTTAAGGGAATCAAAGAGTAATTATATCTCAATTATAATTAGTTTTATAATTATTTTCTTTTGGACTCTATCGTCAGAGTGATATAGTTTTCAAAATTATGCATGCATGGAAAACAGAGCCAAGTAGTTTTGATTCTAGGTTCAGTTTTGGGTAATGATGTAATTGACGCATAATAACTGTTGTGCAAAGCGACGAATTAATAGATCATTATTTACATATTTTAAATGTTAAAATAGGTGCTGATTAGTACGATTGACATAAAAAAGAAGTTAAATTTGATTTGAAAACTGTTTAATAGATGAATACCTAAGTATTTATTAATGTAAAATAGCCATTGCTCAATTTAATAAGTTAAAATTCATTTAAAATTATACGTAATGAATACAATACTTCTTTTTAATGAGCAATATGTGATTAAAAATATAAATATTCATTTTTTCCATTTTTCTCGCAAGGTTATTTAAACATATGCAACAAACTTAATAAGATTGATTTTTTTTCTATTGATATGTATTATGCCTCATCTAACGATCTCATATATTCTCAAGTAAAAATGATATTGGGAATTGAATCATATTAACGCATGAAAAGATTTCCATTGAACAACACCATATCCACGTCTTTAGGAACAAATTAATAACCTTCCAACCCTACTTCCTAAAAATCTATATGTTCCTTTTATTTTTAAACCTATCATTCTTTATTTTAAAACCTAAAAATAGCTCATAATTTCTCCGCCATTAGAAAACATTTTGATGGCAAAAGTGGTTATTTAGTTATGAGCAGTTCTTGTGAATTCAAATTTGAGTCCAATCAAATACTTGATAATGTGCTTAGTAAACTTCATGTTTGCATGAAGAGAAATGTTTCTAGATGAAGCGAGTTAGACTTTAAAAATCGACTTTAACACATCAATCACGAATCACACCAACTGAATAAGTCCAAAGTTACGTAACAAAATAGATGGAGTTGAGCAAAAAACCGACATGTACTGGTGACGTCATCTGGCGGAAATCATAATGTGTGGATGCCATTGCACAATTATTTTCTACCTATTCAAAGATAACTTAAAATGTTTTTAAAACAAGGTTTATGTCATTTTTTTTCTTTTTCTTATTTTCTTTTGTTTTTGAGAGATAATAATCATTTAGTAAGTTTATATTAAAAAATATTTCAATAAAGTTGTATAGCTGATACATATCATATTTCTTATGTGTCACCAAAATTTTTAGAAAATCCTAAAAACAACAGTGATTAAAATATTTCTAAAATGTATCCTAAATTCTAATAAAATGTGTAGAATCTATTTAATTAGGCTTATTATGCCTAAAATAATAAAGTGCTGTAATAAATAGTCACTTTTAAAAAATAATATATAAACTCACAACTATGCATTTAAATTACATTTACATTTTTATATTATTCGTATGTGTCCGTGATGATTTATATCTAAGTTAAATTATTAACGATGAAATTTTAAATTACTCCTACTAAATTATTCCTATTATTAACTTATTCCTATATTTAAATTTTATTATTATTATTATAAAGGTTATTAAATTATTCTAAAGCATGATGAGCTTTCGTTTTAGTGACATGCATTATTAAGACTTAAAAATAATGACGTGCTGTTGCCATTATTTACTTTAAAAAAATTAAATTTAAATTGTTAAAATAATATTTTTGATAATGTTTTATATCAGCTTAATTATTCATGAAAATATTGTCATGCATTGTGAAATTATTTCAAAATATTCTTCTTAAATTATTTCAGTTGTCTGCCTTTTCAATACCATTGCCAAAGACACTACGAAGAACATTTATTTATTGGGAAAAGAAGAAAAACTCCAATTATGCATCACCCTTTAAAACAGAAAGTCTTATAATGTAAAAATATATCTTTCAATTTCACTGTCTCTCCGACAAAAAACTTTGAACGCAATGATTTGCACCGTTCGCGCACAAACTTCTACGGTGCTAAGCCATGCTTCGAATTTCCCTCCATACGCAACAGAACTTTTTGATACTTCTCAAAGTTTAACTCACATTCGAATTGTGGCTATTTCGAAAAGAAAACTAGAATATCCTCCGAGTTCCTTCCGAACAAAGTCACAGTTGAGTGATTAAAGATCCTCGGAAGTACGGAAGAGGCTTTAAAAGAGAAAAGAAAAAGTCCACTTACCGTAGATAGGTGACTTGGACCAAATATCCGCAGCTTTAAGTTTTGGCTGATGCCTCTTGGACGTACTAAACTGGAACTGAACAGAAGACAGACGTGCGTCTCCCAAAGAATTTCCAGTAGAGGGCCCGCACTGGCCGATCGATGTGAGCGCGACTCTTTGAATAGGCGCGCTTTTCTCAAACTTGAGGGTTGGCCAGCGCAGTGAGCCAGCGCATGGTGGCGTTGGTTAGAAAGAGAGCATCTTCTGGCGGCCACAAATTGGAATAATTTAACTGATTCGTTTTTAAGAGGTTTTGTTAAGGGAATAGGGATTTCTGATGTAAACAAAGCATTTTGTTTACATCTGTTGATACTATTCAGCAGACGCAATTGTTAAGCGAATATTGGAAATAAAACTGGTTATAGTTATTTCAGTAACTACTTTTAAGCGTGGTTTCTTATATAGTTCAATAGCGATCCTTTTACTACTCTTGGTAACTATCATTTTATAGGATACTCTTTCATTTTGAATTAATGTTATAAGGTTTTTTGTTCGAAAAAAAATCATTCTGTTAAAAAGGATTTGCTTCGATAAAAATTAGATTGTTATAGATTATAAATTCTTAAAATCTACAGCGTTTCTTTTTATTTTTCGGGCCGCAATATTTTCAAACTGAAGTAAATTAAACGAATAAATGCAAAAAAAGAAAGAAAAAAAAGAAAAATATTCTGGGTTTTTATTAACTATACTTCTCTTGAATAATGTTTTTAATAGCAGTTTCTACACATAACATTAATTTCATTTTGTAAGATCCGTAAATCCGACAACCTATTTCTGAGTTTGCTGCAATCAATGCTTATCTCAATAGCATAGTAATTTCGAGTCTAACCTAGAAAAACAGGAAATCTGGATCAAACCTTGAAGCAAAGCCTGTGAAGAGGATATTTTGATAAAATTTACCAGACGTTATTAATTAAATATTCCCAAGAAACTGGAGCGGTAAGATATTGCTTGATTTTGAAAAAAAAATCACTACGGCTGCTAATATTTCCATCATCTTTAGGCCTTTTGAAAAATTGGTTTTAAGTCTTTTTAGATATCCTATCAGCAGTGAAATTCGCTGGGACCTTTACCACATACCTTATCAGTACTACTTTGGCTACATCGAATGAACCAGACGTGCTTCATAATTTAGATTTTGGGCATAAATTCAATTATGACACTATATATATATATATATATATATACAAGAAAAAATAAGTCTGAGAAAAATATTGTAAAAACGCATTGTAAGAATTTACTACTTTAGCAATTACATGGATTTAAAAACTTATCTAATTCTAACTGTTAAGCATGAAATAAATGCAATTAAATATTTATTTAAAAGTAATTTATCTGGCCAAAAATTCGTGCGCAATATGAATACAACCCATATAGGAAAAAAACGGTTGTTTAATTGATTTTAAATTTCTCTGTTTAAATTCAGCCTTAATTTGTGTATATATAGGATAGATAATCAGATTTTGTAGTTACAGTGATGGGAATAGAACTTTTCATGTGGATTTTTAGCTGGATGATCACCAAATTACTCTGCATCATGAAGATTAGGAACAATTATACCGAACCACACTGAAAAAAATTTTAAAAAAGGAGCATCATTATTTAGGAAAAACTGCAAATTACGCTTAAGTTTCTTAAACAAACGTGAATGTGACAATTTTTCCATATTATATATATATATATATATATATATATATATATATAATCTT